TAGCTATCTACTCATTGTAGACAAATAGCTAACGAGGCTAGACGACGTTAAGAAATTGAACAACGGGGTAGAGTTGACGCCAAAAACCCAGTTTAAATATTTATTAACACAGTAAAACATAATGTGTCATTATGAACTTTGATTTAAAATATTTTTTTATTATTTAATTTTATTTAAACAATTATAAGATTTATAAATTGTAAATTGTTGACACTTGTTTTTACAGTTTTAATTATTATTTTTTATTCCTTAAATTGAATATATCCGTTATTTATTTATCTAATTATGAAGCCTTATCTTTATTTGATCCTTCACCCGCTATATTTTCAATATCCTTTTCCTATTTCTCTTGTTTTCCCATATTCTCTTCCTTTTTCTTCATACAAAAAGGACATGCAACATTTCAAAGAAGAACGCAAAGCCCTACATAAATCTTTGCTCAAAGCTAAGCGACAGGACAGAAAGAGAACATTTATCTCTCTTAAGCACGAAAAAGATACGCTTCTTAGTGATTATTACTTTCACAAAGAATTCAGATGGGTATGATATTTTTCTCTTTTACTTAAGGTTTACCCATATTGGTTTACTTTTACTGCATATGCCAAGCGCCGATGGATTGGCCATTCTTTAGTTGATATTCTCTCTTCGGAATTTAGATCTAACAATGAAGAGTTAGTCGTAAGCTTCTTATATTAATCACTTTCAGATGTCTCGTTGTCAGTCGGGTCTGATTTCGGTCAATGGTAAAGCAGTGGAGCCTGACTATGTGATTAAGGATTCAGATAAAATAACTCATAGGGTTCATAGGCATGAACTTCCCGTCCTAAGTATGTTTAAGTTTTTATTTTCTTTACCTAAAGGAATGGGGATTGAAATACTTCACGAAGATGAAAATATTCTCGTTATAAACAAGCCGCCTTCCATTCCGGTGCATGCTTGTGGGAAATACAATATAAATAGTTTAGTACATATTTTAGCAAAGGATTATGGCATTAAGATGCTTCGGTTTTGCAATAGATTGGACAGGTGTACTTGTTATGTATCTTTATATATTATTTAATGCTAGCTACTTAATTCGCATTATTTTTGTACTTAGAAATTTAGTCAGGTCTGCATTCCACTCCACTTGCTTGTATATTGAGCCT